AAAAATGAAGCAAATTCCAGCTTGGTATCAATAATGTGGCCTTCGGTTGATTTTATGTGATAATTTGCAGCTGCATAATTTAAAGGGATTCTGTCAGCTCCACTTTTTAATAACCAGATTTTTTAAAGTCAACAGAAAGTTCGTAACACAACGGGAAAGCCTTCGAGTAGCGTTTAGCCTAAGACGATGGAATTTCTTGTTGGTATTAGTTCTCCACGCAATGCTCCTCTTGACCTTAAAACTGGCTATAGTGGAGCTATTATTATGTGGCAGTACAAAAAGGGTCAGGACCAAGCTCCATTTTTTTCCTTATGAGGCCGATCTTTTGGCCTGGAAGCTCATCGGTATCTTCGCATCGTGTGCTTGAACGCCTGAATGCTTCTTCTCACCGGTATTGCTTGAAAAAAGGAGAATTTTGCGCGTTCTCGTTCATAGCTGGTGGGTTCCGTTAAAACAGTCGGAAATTAGTACCTTTCTGTACGGAACATAGTACAGCTATTCCAGAGACATTTATGCATCATATGTAGCGCACATGAATTTAATCAGATGTAACAGTCATTTTGAGATTTTGATGGGCTTCGAAATGAAATTGACAGCTGAACAGAAAAAAAACCGAAATCTCAGAGTGATATTCTGTGTTTGAGCTCATGTTTCCGTTTGGTTTGTTGCCCTGAAAGTAAAGCTCGCGTTTTAGCATTCGTCGTGAATACGTTCCGTTGTCACTGATTGAGCTGTCTCGCCTTATTGACTTGGGATGGGTGGATCCATCATTGCCTATAGATGTTGCCGCACTTTGTCGTACTCGGAAATTTCAAATCAAACCGAAGTTGCGGCAGTGCGGATTTGATCTCACTGGAGAGGTGATTTTTCTCGAATTTCTATTGATTTTTTGAAAGTATGTTTTCAGTTTTTGTGTTGTTTTTTTGGATGTTTTTCATTTTTTATCTTTATAGTTTTAGGGTGCTGATGACTTCGCTCACAAAATTGACATCGAGGTACAGTATGCGTCGCAAACGGCTATTTCAGCAGTTGAGAAGGCCGGTGGACGGATACGAGTGGCATATTATGACCCGGACTCTCTTCAGGTGAATATCCTACTTAAACGCTTCGTCTATTGTCTGTCACGAAATTCCCTAGCTCCTGGAGGATTTGTTGGAGGACCGGGTCAAGTGTGGGATGGGTGGGCAAGGTCTCGAGAAGTACAAAACACACATCAGCTAAGCGGAGCCCCGCCCACAGTGGGCGTGGCGTGCGTCGAAATCTAGAACGAGTTGGGAGACCCACCTCCGGTGGGCGGGGCGTTCTCTAAAAAGCAGTGCTTCATGAAGAAATTTACAACTCGGTTTGGGAAAGCCTGCAGAGCAGAAAACAAATTGGTCAACCATCGTTTAAGGTGTTTCCAGCATACATAACGTGGGCGGTGGCCCTCTCACAATGTGACAGCGTGAAAAGGTTTCATAATTTGGTTCTGAGGAGTCTTCGAGACTGGTAAATTAGTGGGTAGAGGTCAGAGAAGGAAGGGAGGCTAAATGTCAGTGGTGGGGGCGGCTTGCACAAAAATGGGCTGAGCTTGCTTTCAAAGCTCCAAAGTGGACAGAATTATCCACAGAATTATGACTCGGTTCCAAGAAGGCACGGAGACAGGGAAAAGAGCCATAGAGTTCGTCTACGGAAGGGAGGTCAATATCTATAAGTGGGCGGGCATGCACCAAAGTGGGCGGAGTTTGCCACGAAACCTTGTAATTCAGGGAAGTTATAGGAACCGGGAAAGAGGTGGGATGATGTGGCGTTTTCGCAGTCTGCACCTACCCTGTACTTCTACTTAGAGTTTGCGATTTTCGATTGCTAGGCGGAACTACATATCACAATAATGCTGGGGTATGGATAAAACCCTTCGCCCAGACGGAAATCGAGAGGGGTGTGTTCGATTCCCACGTAGAGCAAATAGTTTTGCTCATGATCCAGCATTCCTATGATAGCTAGGCAGACTTTATTATCTTTGTTTTCCTCTTAGGCTCAGACTTTTTCAATCTGATTGGAGGAATTACTGATCCGGACTTTTGATCTTTGCAATATGGACACACGAGTTTCCTGCACCTTATCTTAATTTCCAGGCTGCTGTTGATCCTAAAGCATGGTTCATGTCTGGACATCCTGTGCCGGCGCGGAAAGCACCACCTCCATCATTGTTGGAGTGAGTTGGTTATTATTCCCAGGTATAATTTTGAGTGGTGATACTAGTTTTAAGGTATTACCGCGATCCATCGAACCGAGGCTATTTGGCCGAAACAGCAGAGTTAGTTGATGCTAGAAAACGGCTCGCGCTTGTCATGGGATACGATATACCAGATAGTGAGATCTCCATAGGAGAAAAAGGACCCACACAAGTTTGTTTTCGGCTTGAGTCAAAGCATTACTCGAAAGATGTCATCTCCATTTTAGGTTTTCCATGGAATTCCACCTGGAGCGGTGGTATCTCTGGCTGATAGGAAAGTATTTCTACCAACCCATCCTGTAGTAAAAGATTATTATCAGAAAAGTTTTGTAGCTGATAAACAATTTCCCTAGTGTAAATAAGTATATCTAGAGTCAATAGTTTTAATTGTTTCTGTTTGAAGATTTGTTGGATTTTGTTAGATTTTCATGCTCAGACGTTGGTCAACACATGGAGTTGTATAAACTGACTCATTTTTATTTTGTGTTCAATTATTTATTGTGGACTAGAACTATTTTTCTGGGAAGTTGGAACACTTCCCTGGTAAATGATGCACTATGGCTGCTTTTAAAGAATACCGGCAGAAAAAATGGAAAATTTCTTGGCCAAATGCATACTTTTATTTCTGCCATAGAGAGCGTCCCCTTGATTCTTGTGGTGCTGCAGTGCTGTCAAACTAGACCACCGTAATGGGCTTTCATAATCACGAAACAGTCATGTGTCAACCACAAATTTGTGACGTATGATGACAGTAGTACGAGCATGATTATTTAAAATACAAAATCGCGTCAAAGGAGGATTGCAC